CGGTGCGCCGGGACAAGGGGATCAACTCCGCGCGCCCCTCTGCCTCTGCCCTGCAGCCGCACTGGGCGGTCTCGGTGCTGGACCTGCCTGGCCCTTGGACCAGGTCTTTACGTACAGTGCTCCGCGAGGGCCTGGGGACCCCTGGGTTCGCGGCCTGACGCAAGGCCTAGCGGACTCCTGGACGCACTCGCGTTGTTTGAGCCCATATTTGGCGGGATGGGGGAAATACGTCACAAGTAGTAAAGGGACCCCTGATCCCAGCCCCCAGCCCCCAGAGACCACCCACCCCCGACTCCCGACCACACACCCACCCCCACCTCCGTCCCCACCCCCGACACACCTCCGTCCCCAGCCCCCCACCACACCCTCACCCCCAACCACAGCCCGCGCACCAGACGCCGCGTCCTCGGTGTCACCAGGGGCGGGGTGGACAAGTGCCTCCCCCCAGGCCGGGCCCGCCCTCCGCAGTCTCTCGGCCGGGACAGAGTCTTTCCGGTCGCGCCGGAGTCCAAAAACGTAGTCCGCCGTCTCAGCCTCTCCGCCCTGCGTCGATTTTTTGGTTTACAGGAATCCTGTTGCTTTAAATATGAAATACCGCGCCGGCATCAACTCTCGCGATCTTTGAGGCCGCATACTTATTACCCACAGTTCCCTTTCCTTTCTTTCTCATCCCGCCGCCCAAGATGGTGAGTGAGGTGTGGTTCCGCGATACGGTAATCGGGTCCCGGATTCACCCGCTGCCATCCTTCTCCAGGCGTGGCCCCACAGGGCCTCCTGCTCCCCCTAGCTCTAGGAGAGCTGTACCCGGTGTGGCACGGAGACATTGAGACGGACTAAAGCCCTGGGCGGCCGGGAGCGGGATGCGTTAGTTCCCATGCCGCTGGGCTGGAGGAGGAGAGCAGGGAGCGCCGCGGTGCGGGACTCGGACGGGGCCGAGGCGCTCGCAGTACTAGCGGCTTCTGGTTTTTCTGAGGGTCGCCCCAGAGGCTTTGACCAACGAGTCCGAGCCCGCTCCTGCTATTTCTGGAGCCTGCGGGGCCGCGGTTCAGACGCCATGAGTCTTGTACCAGGCGTCTCCTGGGTGGGCGACGGGAAGAGAGCGTGGCCTCGGCCTGGGCCTTACCCGGGCTCCGGCCACTCTGGGTGCCGGGGGCAGCGTGGTCGTGCGGCTGATGGTAGATGCCCTTGTCGGGTAACAGCGAGGACGTTCCCAGCAAGCAAGACCGCAGCTGCACAGGCTGGGGTGGCGCCGGGGGGCTTCAGGACGC